GGCGATAATTTTTCATCGTTTTCATTTCGAGTTTTAACGCGAACGTTACGCGCGCGCCGTACGCAATTATACGATGGCATTTCGAATAAGTTATTTCGTCCGTACTGATGTATCCTTTTCATTTTTTCGGCGATATCGTGTGCATGCGCGCATTCGACTCGGTTGTAACGTACACATCGGGCGAAAAATTTACATAACTCGAGATGATAAATCAATAGAGACTCGTCGAATTCGGCTGTTTGCTCGGCAATGCAGCAGCGGATAGCACATAGAGTACAAGGTTGCGAATGTTTAGCTCGGTGGACAGCAGGCACGAGCCTCTGTGGCAGGCCTCTGCGTGCCGGAGGATTGTCAGCTCGCGATATATTTACGTTTGCCGCGCGAGCGCATTATAGTTTGCACATATTGCACGTGCTGTACGAGCGAGGAATAGATATTACATTATGGACGTGCCGCGCGCTATATCGTGTATGTGTGTGTATGTACAAAAGTGTAATGCCAAACAGCAGCAGTCGAAACGTCAGAAACTTGCTACGGTAAAGAGAGAACTGTGTTTCTTCGCTGCAGTTTTGGCACCTGTAGACATTGTGAGACTTCGTGCATACACTCACACAGACACGTAATCGAAAATCGAACGGCTTTTAAAATAGACTCGCGATTCGTTTTTGCTAACTCGTGCATGGCTCTGTATACGTTATACGTATACCGGAGAATATGCCGTGAATGCGTCAATTCACTTTTTTTCCTGCCCTCGCATTTATTATATTATATCGTTTTTCACGTGCGGTTACTTTCACCTATTGCCCGTGACGTGCCGTTCGAAATATAATATAAACAAAAATTGCCGCGTGCATAGACGCGGTGTGATTCAATAAAAAAAAAAAAAAAGATAGAGAGAGAGAGAGAGAAAAAAATCTCCGCCCTCTTATTCGACCGACTTGATTTTATAATCTGCAATTCTACGATTTCTATAATTGAAGCAATTTCGACTGCATTATATGCGCTACCCGAAAGGGACCATTTACAATAATACAAATAGCCCTTCCGGTTTGGACGCGCGGCTCCCGAAATCGACATAATACTTCTCTGCGCGGCGCATTTTGTGTGCAATTGTGAATAAGGCAGCGGCGCGCGCACGACTTTTGGAATTATGGAAACACGGCTCTCGCTTCCGTGCGCGCGAGCGTGAAAAGTACACAATCAATTTCTCGGGTCGGCTCTTACATACACTTGTCGTGTATACGTAGTAGCTTCGTCGTGTACGATATAATAATACATAGCTCTGCGCACAAAACGCCTATTGTAGGATGAAATGAAAAAAGGAGTGAAGTCGTATGTACATTCAAGAAGCGACGCACTGACATGGAAACGCGAACTCAAAGTCACTCGCCTCCCGCTGGCGTTTTAAGAAATTAGAATTTCCGAACAAAGGAAAAATCGAGCTAATGTGAAAACGATGAGCTCGTGACGCGCGTTGACTTTCTTTTAGTCGCAATTGAGATTATGTACGGTAGGTGTGATAGATAATGGATACTGATTTTCTTTTGCTTAGTGAAATGATTGAATGTTGGATAACTTCTGGAAAGATTGCTGATGCAGACGCAGTAGAATACTGTGTTCCTGATAAAAATTCTCAACATTTATAAGGATCTAATTAACATAAAATGACCATTAAAATTTTTTAGAATACATTGCCATTAACTGACTTGTTTTTGGCAATTTCAAATGACCTGCAAATGACAATTTAACTGTTTCCAATATTTTTGACTAATTTTTGAAGACTTTGAGTACGATAATTTAAGTCTCCACCACTAGATGGCGAGTACCTTTATCTTTGTAAATTTGCAAGTGACAAAATAAAAATAAAATTGTATATAAAAGGTACGGTTTTGAGAAAATATCATGCATTTTTTCTAAGTACTTCGAAGCATTTTTTTGAAAATACAAAACTGTTTTTGATCATAAAAGCGACTTAATTAGATTCTTTCTAAATACAAGTATTAACGATAAAGTTATGAAATTCAAAATAGCAATTTAATTCGTCCCTAGGGAACGAAAAAGTGGAAAGCCACAAAGCAGTAATTATCAGTCGAAGCAAAGGCGAGGCTGATAAACAGGTGCTCTGAGGCTTTCTTTTTTGCTTCACAGCAACGTAAACTATTTTTCATGAATCCCTCAGCAGAAATTAATTTTTTTGTTCATGAAAAATAATAAGTTCTCTGTATATCTTTCATTTAGTTCTCTCAAGGTCAGAAGTGAGAAAATCAGCTCATGCTTCTCGTCATTTATCTGTCATTCCAATACAAATGGTGAGATTAAATAGATAAATGTAGAGATTATAGAAGACTCCCATATCTAGTACTGTGATTAATAAATGACGTTAGTTTGACCGAGATAATTGACCGATTAATTTATAAATCGAGAAAAATATTTTCTACATGATGCAACGATAACCAAATAACAAATAACCACAAAATAGTAACTAAATAACCACAGAGATATTCACACCTTTTTTAGAGATAAGTTTCATGTAATTACGGCGTGCATTATAGGATTCGGCGGTCACCGATAAATTTCAACTTCCTCAATCACACATGTCTACAACGATCTCCTTATAGCATTTTCTACCAAATGAGCGGAAAATTTTTTCGCGCGCACTAGAAATAAGCTGTGCTGTATGTGATCAAACCACAAGTGATAATGAATGAAAATTTGAAATCGAGTGCTAATATGTTCGACCTAGTTTACAGGTAAAAGATGATAAATAAGGTGAGTATGCTGACACTCGGGAACGTAATCATAACTATTGAAATGCTCATCTATTTTTAATGAGTCAATATTTCACAATAATCTTCATCCTAATGGTTAACGGTTTTGATTTCCATATTTGATAATCATCCTGGATTTTTTTGAACCAATAGCATACCTGTCCAACTAATTAGTTTTTCGTCTTATCAATTCACGAAACAGGTGTAATTTCATTTCTGTAATTAAGGTGGATAGTCTGTAATCATAACAATAGTACAGCGAGGCGTATGTTTGTCTTTTTCTCGCATTAGGCAGGCAACCGCTCGCACTATTCGAAATCAATGATTTTACGCACATTTTGTTTAATTACTAATTAGTTAATTCGATAAGGGGTACTTTTTAACATACCAATCGAAAGGTAATGACTTGAAGCATAACATACTCGTTTTTGGTTAAGATCTGTTGTTTAATATAAAAGTTATGGCGTAAAATGTATGAAATTATAATGGCCTCCCATAAGAGCCCATGTTAAATTTGCTATTTTCAACGGCTTCGTTCTCAAAAATTAATTCGATAACCCATGCTGAAATTTTTACAGCATATCAAGGGCACTTTAAATGACATTTCTGCAGAGTTTCATAAACATCCGTTATCGACCCATTTTACTGCCTAGCCACCTTAAACGTTATCAGATTTTACACGTACCGTACACGCGAGTACTGCAAGTACATACGAATTCCGACCTATAGTAACGATTACAACACCACACGAAAGTACCGGGTCGACCGTTGCATCGAACGAAATCAACTTTCATTCCGATTGAAAATTCTTTGGTTTTTAATTCCTGTAAATCTTTCTTCTCTCCCATTCAACCCCGTTAATTCCATCGCCGATTGTGTATCTCGCGCATTATATTCTCCGCTTGATTTATGCCATTAAGATTTTAAAAAGAGTCTCAGCTTAACGCGGAATCTGTGTAGGTCACAATCTCCCAACCTCAACTTTCCCCATTTTATTGTTAATATCGTTTTGTTTTTCTTCTTCCAATCTTGGAGGCTGCATAAGCATAAAAAAATAATCAGTCGCGCGCGCACGACTCCACGGGGCGTCCGGAGCAACAATGGAGATGGCCCGTGCGTGATCCCAAAATCCTTTGAATGCGGAGATGTTTTGAATATTTTAAAAGGCTTGTGTATGTACGTACGTACGTACGTACGCACGAGACATCCACGCGTATACGTATTCTAACGAAGGAAAGGAGTACAATGGCAAAGTAATGACGACTCGTTCATCTAATTCCATTGTCGCGATAATTTATTTCGTGAAAATCCAGGTGAATTATGTTAATAATGCACCATGCGCGAAAGAGTTGCTATACAATCAAATGTGTGTCGCGCGCACATGTAATAAATTAATTGAGCATCGCTCCGAAAAGAAAGAAAGAAAGGAGAAATTGAGAAAGATGCTTATACATTCGTACGGCACGATCGTGATTGTACTATACCATACATGTGTCGCGTGTCGCTATACTAAACATCTTTTCTCTCTTCCTTCGTCGTAATAAGTGTATACATGTACCAAATCCACTTCTGTGTAGTACCACTGCTGCTGCTGCTGCGCAGCGCCCGGCAATGTGGCCCATAGCTGCGGCCAAACTTGGTAGCCGCGCGTTCGCGGATATGTTCATCCGTATACTATGTACCACCGTAGTAGTAGTAGTAGTACGCGCCGCGGGGCGAATTATATTTTTGAAAAAGCCCAAAGGTGGGAGCTTTGCGTATGTATATTTCGGAGCAGCAGCAGCATCACGCAATGTAGTACTATACTAACGCACACACATCCATATAAACACGCACACGAATGCGGTGTGGTGCGGCTGCTAGCCGGCGGTGGTGTGTGGCTGCTCCGCATCATGCCCGTATACGAGTGCAAGCGAGACAGATATCGGAGGTGGCTTGCCGCGCGGGCCACAACACGACCGCCGGCCGCTATTGGTTGGCTACCGACGGCACGGGGCGGGCAGAAGAGAGGCTTTACTGCACAGCGCGCGGGGGAAAAAGTTCTCTCGCTTTCTCTCTCTCTCTCTTTCACCGCCGGAGCAGCTATATAGCAGCACGGCGCATCAGCCGTCTGTGACGAGAGAAAGAAAGAGAGAGAGAGAGAGAAATGGTGGGGATAAAAATTTCGTTGCGCCTAGAGTAGAGTAGAGAGAGAGTAAACCGAGACTTAAATACTGGTGCCACGGCGTCGAAAAATTCAGAAGCCGCTTGGCAAGCATCAGAGTCGGTAGCGTGTATACTACTACCACAGCAGCAGCAGCAGCAGCAGCTGTGCCACCCACGCGAACGCAGAGGGACTTTGTAACTCGCAGTGCATTTCGGGATAGTGTGATATATACAGTGCGAGGGAGAGAAATACTCACACACGCAGACGTGCAGAGAGAAACACAGCCCAACCCGCCGCCCACGAGACACAGTTTAGCGCGCACCCATACATATACGTACGGCGAGAGTGCGACGATAGCAGATAGCAAGTGTGTTAGTGTGTGTGTAAGTGTGTTGTTATAAACGCGTACATGCGCAAATCGGCCGAGTAATTTGCACCGCACGCGAGATAATATTTTCTTCCTACTAGTGCTGCGAGTTTTTTTTTTCTGCTTCTTCGAGCGACGAAAAAAGGCTGAGCCTTTTCCTCGTGTGATGATCAGAGCTGTTCGACGAGCAAAGAAGAAAAGTGATTGTTTTTTTTATTAAAAAGTGAAACAAAAGTGAATCGTAACAAAATATTTCCTCGACGAGGAAATATACGAGAAAAAGTTGATCAAAATTACCACGACGACGAGAAAAGATACCACCGCCAACATGCGCCTGACCGATAACAGTCCGTCGGGCAAGCAGCAGCAGCAGCAGCAGCAAAGTAATCAACAGATACCGAACGGGATGGAGGCCTACTACAACTCGGTGTGCGACGCGTTGCGCGTCTGTCACGGCGATCTCGTGCACACCGGCAGTCCGGCGATACTCTGCACGCCACTGCCCAATCATTGGCGCTCGAACAAATCGCTGCCGATCGCCTTCAAGGTGGTGGCACTGGACGACATTTGCGACGGCACCGTGGTCACCATCAGCGCCGGCAACGACGAGAATTTTTGCGGAGAGTTGAGAAACGCCACGGCGGTGATGAAGAATCAGGTGGCGAAGTTCAACGATTTGAGATTCGTCGGCAGAAGCGGTAGAGGTAAGTGTGTTCGTTGATTCCGAAGCTGCGATGAAAAGTGTGTGTGAATTTCGCAGTGATCTAATCGATTTTTGTTTTTTGCTCTTTCGCAGGAAAATCATTCAGCCTGACGATACAGATCCAGTGTGTGCCGTTCCAGATAGCCACCTACCAGAAGGCCATCAAAGTGACCGTCGACGGTCCCCGCGAGCCCAGATCAAAGTCGAGTAAGTATTTGCATCGTGATCGTTTTTTTTTCTGCTCGCGCGCGATATAGTTAACGGATAATAAAAGAGACTCCGCCGTCTCGCGATGTTTATAAAATCGGTTTGCTTATATACGTACGCGCGGATCGCAGCTAGATCACCCCGAGCATGTGTGCGGCGGCTTTAACGACTCTATTTTTTTTTTTTTTTTTAAACAAACGTAAACACGAGCAAGCCGCGCGCTTCTTTCTGAGCCGCGCCGCGTATATAGAGCTTCTTCCTCAATAAAAAAGATCCGCTGCCTCGATTCGATTTAATATTTTTTAATAATACACACACGCACGCACATACACGCGCGCGAGTTATATACATCTCGAAATTCTCTCTCTCCGCGAAGATGATTGAGCGCGTCGGTGTGGCCTAACGCAACGACGAGAACGGCAACGCGAAGTCTATTAATACTTTGGTCGTAAAGGAACAAACTCGGTACGTATCGCGAACGGCAGTGAGTTATACGCGCGCGACTATAAATTTAATTCCGGCGACATAAACACACATATACGCGCGGCGGCGGTGAAACGCAGAGGTCGCGCGCGCGCGCAGATGCACATAGTAATATTAAATATATATAGCGCACAAACTATAAAGTTCTAATTTTTATTTATTTTTTGTGTTCTCAACAGGCTATCATCTGGGCACGGGCTTTCCACCCATGGGCTACCTCGGTCCCTGGTTCGAGAGCGCCTACTTCAACCTCGGATGGAGCCTGCCCCATCCGTCACTCGCCACAAAAGGTAAGGATATACTCTTGACAACAATCGAAACCTACGAATCATCATTGGTCGTAAAATAATAATTACCCGTACACCGCACACGGATCGAGTTTTCCTTTATACTCGGCTTTATTTTTCTATGATCGATCGCCTTGATTACTTCCGGAAACTCTTTATTTTCACGCGTCAATAATAATTCCTGTGTATTACGAAACCTCTATTAATTACCCTGTCATAAAAACACGAGATTACGTTTTGAGAAAGATAAAATGTAACACATGTGCATACGCACGGCAGTAGTGTACAATTTTTGTCCGTGTACGCGAGAGTATCGATTAGTTCTCTCTCTCTTCTAGTCCGATGATTCATGCAGCAGCAGCAGCAGCAACAACAGCGGGTACAACCCCCGACGAGCCGGTTTCTCTCTCTCGCTCGCGTCCCTTTTTTGTACACACACACACGTATATATACACGGTTTGCTCTCTGCCTCGTTCGCTCGTTCGCCCCTGAAACTGCAACAATGCGACTTAACACCCCTCGCGCATGCTACAGCAGCCCTCAAACCCCGTGTGTCCCCGCGCGCCCTGTAGCAGCAGCAATATCACACACTAACACACATCCACAGCAAATATATTATATGCAACACAAACTCAACGTTTCGATGTTTTTTTCTCTCTGATTACAGGATCGATGGGCCTACCGACGAATCCCGCGGAGGCTTACCCGGGCGCGTACCTGACGCATCTGGTCTCGCCGCAGACGACGACGGGTCACCCGCCGCATCCGACGACACCGCCTCAGCTGCCGTACGGCGCGATCCCGGGCTATCCACTCGCGAAGCCGTCGTCCACGTCGCCCGTGTCCGATCCTGCGGTGCAGCCGATCGCGACGCGTCTGAGCGTGAGTCCGAGCTCCCTGCACACCGTCCGCCACGCCGCCTCCATCGGCAAACTGTCGCCGCTCGGCGAGTCGAAGCAGCAGCCGCAGGCCCAGCCGACGAATCATCATCATCAACCACATCAGCCGAGGAAGATCCTAAAGACCGAGAGCATCGGTCAGCCGAGCCTGAGTCCCGCGGTCAACACTCCGCCGCGCACGCCCGACAACAATTCGGCGGGCAGCGACAGCGAGACCAGCTGCAACGAGGAGATTCGCTCGGCTTTCGCGCCCATAAGGCCCACGGCGATTCGAGGCTCCTCGATATCCCCCGAGCAGCGGCGCGATCTCGATTACTCGTACTTGAAGAAGATACACAGCAGCAAGGTCGAGGGCTCGAGGAACGATCTGAAGGCGCCGACGAGTCTGATATCGCGAAAGCAGTCGTCGCATCATCATCACCACGCGAGTCCGAAGATCACCGCGATGACGCCGGCGGCCAAGCCCGTCTGGAGGCCCTACTAGGGTCACGCCGCAGCCTCGTGCATCATCGAAACCAAACTACTCACAGTATTTTCCTCCTCATTAGCCGCCGCCGCTGCTGCTGCTAGTGCACAGATGCGACAGATCCGGTGCAGAGACTTGCGTTAGAAAAGTCTCGGAAGTGTACATAGATATTATAGAGATATATAGAGGTGAAAGGCGTGGATCGGAATATATATTACGGTTATATATCGATGGTATTATCTCCTTCTCTCTCTCTCTCTCTCTCCTTCGTAATAGTGATGAGGATCGGCGAGACTTGGCGACTAAATTCTCGTATTAGTTCATAATGGATATTCGTAAACTTTGTAAAAAAAAAAAAAACGTTGTACAAATTGAATTTAGAAATTTAAGGAAACAAAGTGTGATAATAGCGTGTATAGTAGTTGTGTCTATATTAGGATCGTAAGGCTGTCTCTGTAAAATATTTCCCTCTCTCTCCCCCCCACCGCTAACCTACCTGATGATCTCCTCCCACTTTCACCTCTCGTCTCGTTTCGTGTATACGGCAACTTGTATACATAACGAGATCGAGAGTCTTGTACAGAAGAAAAAAAATTGCCGGAACGATCGGAAATCAAAGTGAAAATATAACTTCGATCGTTCCTTGGCCCCCCTCCCCCTCCCTTGGCATAAAATTAGTTATATATCTGAAAACTGTACATAATATGTGTATAACTTTTAGCAGATTATATCTATATTATCTGTCTGTACAATACGATGTGAAAAAAAATTTAATGAAAAAAAAAACCAAAATACAAATCTATTGACAAAATTAAATCATACTGTGAAATTTTTAATGACTATATTACCTCATCACCTCGATTTGCAAAAGCAATGAAATTCGGTAAAAAAAAAAAAAAAAAAAACGAGTTCGAGTAATAGAGTCACACACACACGTACATTTATACGTGCAATATAATGACGAATGCCACAAGCACTTTAGACGCACTCTTTGGAAGGGTCAGTCTGGGTATAGTATAACAGTGTAGTGGAGAATATCAAAAAGCAAGTCCGACCGCCGGTTGAAACCGCTGCGAAAAATTTGCACACACACAGCAGCACACGGACTCGTAGTGTACTATAAGTATTATTGTGCGCGACAGCACTAATAGACGCAAAAAATATTTCATCCGTTGCACCTATGTGTGTGTGTAACTGCGGCACAGCGGTTAAACGTATATATATATATGCCTCTTTTTTTGCTTCCTTCTTTCTCATGAGTGTGTATGTGTGTGCAGGGCTGAATAGACGACGCGCGCGTGAGATTTCTCTATGTCGCCGCACATGCACTTTTGCTTCTCGTAGAGAGAGAGAGAGAGAGAGAGAGCCCCTTTCGTAGCAACAGCTCCTTGCGCACATACATTTGGCTGACACGTTTTATAGTGGATTCTCTACGCGCGTTGACGGCTTTATTAAATCATATATACAGCGCGCGCGCGCGGACCTTTGGCTGATTTTCTTCGGGGATGCTGTTGCCCCTCGCCTTCTACTTCGAGGGGAAGATATTATTAGTTGAGACAGAGAGCCATGTGTAGTTGATGAAACGCATCAACCGAGCGGCTACCGGTTATAATGCGTACACAAAAACTCGGAGCATTAAAATTTTAACGCTATGATTTCGTATCTCTGATCTCTTATAAGTACGATTGCCGAGAAAAGATAAAATAATAATTTCGTATCGCGGTTAAAAATAAAATGTTTGCGTATAGTCAATGAGGAGCTTATACAGCCGAGCACCTGCGACGTACCACACACGCACGCTCGTTTCAAGAGCTCCTTACGTAATATATTGCTGGCGCGCGAGGATGCACGAGGCGCCAATCTCTACTTCCGAAATTCTAAGCAAGCTGTTGCTGTTGCTGCTGCTGTGACTCGTGGCGCGTATATATAAGTGTCGCGCGCTCCAGTAGGAAATACGATCGCTTTTTTTTTGAAAATAGGCAAAATAGCGTCGAATCTTGGTCTCGTTCATGGTTCCATTACGAATGATAATAATCGCGCGTCTACGTAAATATTTACGATAGCGGCTGAGATGCGCGCGATGCGACCGATGTCCGGTTGTATATGTCGGCGATCGCGTCGCCATAATGTACCCAAGGCGCCAATACATCTACTTCCGCGCTCGCAGTCCATAAGCCGCAGTTATTTTTTCTTCGATAATTCGCGAGAAAAAATGTCTCAATTATATCGCGCGCGACGACGGCTCGTGTATAATCGAATCAAGTGCAGTACACAACGGGGAAGATAATGAGCTCGAAGGGCAGCAGAGAAAAGCAATGCCGTATTTGTATACATTAAGGGCCTGCACTGCTGCTGCTGCTGCAGGGTCGAGTATAAATGTCGACACGCGTGTGTGCGTATATACGTACGCTCGTATAAGGCAGCCTAATCCATTTAGCGCGCGACCCGAGTTGCGTATTATGCTTATGGTATACACTACGAATCTTTCGGGCCCCGCGACCTGTCTCTCTCACTTCTGCGCGTCTGCATATATACATACAGGGAGTGAGATTAAACAAAGAAATCCAATTTAGAAAGGCACCGGCGGCAGTGTCGGTGGCGGTGGCTGCCTCTGCTGCAAAGGCACATATCGAGCTTTCGACGCCCTATACGTATATAAAAGAGCGGCGGCAGCGCAGCCTAGCAAACACCCATATGCCGCGCGCATATATACACAAACGTGTGTGTAACGCGCCGTGTTACAGCTATTAGCGCGACAAAGTCTCTCGTCGCTTTATATTTGTCGATGGATGGATTTTTTTGTTGATTTTTTTGTTTTTGCCAACTCGCAGAGAGCTTCAATCGCGCTAACTAATGTTTGCCCAAAGAATCGCTCGTAATTAAGCCTCTTTCTCTCGTCGGCGTGAAAAAGCTCGGACGCAAGAGTCGCAGCAGCAGCAGCAGCAGAGAAGAGTTAACCGTGTGACGAGCAAGCGATGATGATGAGGATCTCTGCACTCTCCTCCATACGTATAAAGGATATAGTAACTACTACATATATACGTGCCTATGCTCGGCGACTCTTTTGTCGTGTGCGTACACGGCCGAGCGAGCGTCGATTCAGAGCTTCATACACATCGGCGCTCGATCCCTTTCTCTCTGTATACATGTATGTGTGTGTGTGTGCATAAACAATGTTCGGAGGAGTGGTTCGTTTTTACGCGCATCGAGTCGTGTTTTTTGCACATACATAGCCTTTCGTCACTCTCTCTCTCTCTCGCTCGCTCTTTTTCTGCCTCGTATACGCGCGTGATGATACACGCGTATACATCGCGTTGCAGTATGTATCGAACTTTGAGGTTTACTTTGTCCCTCCGAGAGCTGGATTATGTTTGTCCGTTATTATTATGATTTTTTTCTTTTTTTTTTATTTTTTTTTTGCTTATTCGGATCCAATCGAAAAAGGAGTAAATTTTTTTTTCGTTACATATGTGCACAGCGTAGTTGAAAAAAAAAGAAAATATTACGCACAAAGAATTGAAAAATTTTCATCATCTTTTTTGTATTATTTTCATGACCCGGTCACGAACTTTTTATTTGTCGAAAGATTTTTGCGAAAAAAAAATTGAATTTCGCACTGAAGTTACAAGAGAAAAACACGTGCGAAAGAATCCGTGTAGCTATATAACATAAGCACGTGTACGATAGGCTCCCCGATTTTATTGTGGCTCTCTACTACTACTACTACTCGTCTCTCAGAAATCCTCTTTCTCTCTTACATACATTATATATATCTACCATATAGCCGTACGAATCGCGAAAATAATGAACTAACGTGGAGAGCAGCGAGCGGAGCTGTATATATATCTCTCTCTCGGTGGGCGCAAAAGCTCTCGGCCAGATATAGCCCGAGAGAGAGAGAGAGTGGGCTATTTCCGCGAGAGTAGTCAGAGGGGTTCAAGGGTCCTAGAGTTAGGCAATCAGCGCTGATGAGAGAGAGAGAGAGAGAGAGACGAGCAACTCGGACAATTAGCGCGCGCCCAGTAGTCGGCCCCTTTCCCATATCATTCATATACATAGGCGTACGTGAATTTTCGTATGTATATATCTCGCGCACACACGTGTGTAGATTGGAGCACACCTACGTTTCTGTATATACGAGCGCGAGTCTCGATGTAAGTGTGTCAGGTCATGCGCGCCGACTCACACACACACACACACTGAATGCGACTGTGTACGCGTGCTGCTGAGCTCTCGGCATGTGCTACTGGTTTCCCCAACGCTGTATGTATACATGTGCTCCTCGACATTGGGATTTCTCTGTCTGTGTGAGTATAGGAGAAAAAGGAAGACGGATATTAAGTTCATAAGTGGATCCGTTTTCGATGGGTTTATACGTGTAGTGTGTGTTGGCGCGCGCTCGTTATCAAAAGTTTTCATTATAATACTTGATGAATTGCCCTCGAGACGCTGCAGATGATAATTCCGATTGATCGGCTATAATAATCGTGTTTTTACAAGTATACGAAATTTATGTTCATCGATTAATTAATGTTTCAAAAATTTGTATACGCCTATATCTTATAAATAAAACAAGGAATGCTTTTTTTTTACATTTTCCTGCTCGTTTCGAGTAGACAAGAAAAACATCGTGCCACGAGCTCAAAAAACAGCCATACTCGCATGACAAGTATAATAAGCTCCTTACGCGCGTGCGGGAAAGGGGGAGAGGGAGGGAGCAGGTACTAAGAAAATAATAGGCAGGAGCACAGAACAAAAAAAAAAAAACGTCGATGCCTCGCGAAGTGGAGGAAAAGCGGATTACGCGCCCCGGGATAATAAGGAGAAGAAAGTGGAATACACGGGTCTTAGAACACTGTACCGCTGTTATATATACACACTCGCGCGGGCGAGGGGGGGTCGGGAGGTGCTCGCACGCGACTTAAGTGATTTAACGAGCTGTTTTGCATTGCTCTGTAGAGCCGCCGACGCCGCCGACGCCGCCCCGCGTGTGCCATTTATATTGTAGCATATCTACCTCTACCTCGCGAGCGAGCGATGTAAAACATTCGCGCGAGCTGTCTGCATTCGACCTCGTTATATTGGCTATCGATCCGACTTTTCAGCCGTGACTGACTCTGTGTGTGTGTACCAATCTACGTTATATACATCTATCTCGCTTTGCTTCATTCCTTTGACGGATGAGAAAAATCATTTCGTGCGTTTTTTTTTCTCTTTTTCTCGTTTCGACCGTGTGTAATATAATCGCGTTTTTGGTAAAAAAAAAAATTCGAGTTAACCCATTAACGACCAAAATGCTTGATTTTTTTGTTGGTTTTCGCAGCGATTTTTTTTGTAGTTTGAGACCTTAAAAAAATTTCGCAGGGACCTATTTCGATGTAAAATTTAATGCCCTTTCAGAAACTGAGCGCAAAATTTTGATTTTTTGCGTAATAAAAAAGTTATAGCTACTTAAACAAAAAAAAACGTAAAAATTTTTGCAAAAAATCAAGTTTTCGATTTTTTTTCGCCATGTTACCGATAAGGAATCACGATATAAATATGATCAGGGGTGATCACGACTACCAAAGTATCTCAGAGAATTTTTATGGAATTTTCGAACCATTACTTCAAACAAAAAATAACTCATATTCATATAAAACATGACTCATTTTTACTCGAAAACTATTGAATTTAGAGAAAAAGTGCACAAAACGAAGATTTGAAAAGTGGTTCAAAAATTCCATAAAAATTCTCTGAGATACTTTGGTAGTCGTGATCACCCCTGATCATATTTATATCGTGATTCCTTACCGGT